CCCTCCGCGCACCCTCCCGCGCACCCTCCCACGCACCCTCCCGCGCACCCTCCCGCACACCCTCCCGCACACCCTCCGCGCACCCTCCGCGCACCCTCCGCGCACCCTCCGCGCACCCTCCGCGCACCCCCTGCGCACCCCCTGCACACCCCCCGCACACCATCTGCGCACCATTTTCTCACACCCTCCGCGCACCCCCCCCGCGCGCCGGCCCACAACCAGCCCCCCCTTTGCAAGGACGGCCGTGTGCCGGCAGAAACCGGTGCGGAGGGAACTGAGGCGAGCAGGGTTTCGAGTTTCCATAGACCGATAGACCTAGCTTTTGCAGAACAGATCTTTTATGGCAAAGCCAATCCTAAGCCCCAAACCCTCACGCCTCCCTGTGCGCCGGCAGGTGCGCAAGGACAGCCGTGTTCCGGCAGAAAGCTCCAGCCGTGTGCCGGCGGAAAGCTCCGCGGAGGAAGACGATTGAGCAGGCAACGGGTTGTGGGAAGAGAGGTGTTTCGTTTCGGTTTCGGTTTCGGATTAAATGTCTGGGTTACGCGTTTGAGGATTTCAAGCCCGAAGCCTGTGTAGTGTAGTGGGAAAAAGACGAAGCGTTGGGTCTGTTGGGTTCTACAGTTGTAGGCTTCAAGGTTCCCTGAAAAGAAGTCTTTATGGCAAACCCGCTGCTTGTTTACAGCAGAAACGGCTGAGTCTGTAATGGAGGGCTCGGATGGCGATGGCCAGGATGCGCAAGCCTCTCGGAGGCGTGCTCGTGCTTATGTGCCTCTGGATTGCAAAATTTACACAAGGGCAGCTCTCAGCGATGCCAGATCCGAAAAGGACAAGCTGCGAAAAGCGGCACGCGCATGGAGCAGCGAGAATGAGATCTTGGTCGGTGCCTTTTCCACTCCCCGGGAGCAGGGGGACGCATCCTTTGTTACCACAGCATTTTGCATGAGCTGCACGAACTGCCGCGAGGGAAATGGGAAAACTTTTCGCTTTCAAGGCGCGTGGTTGGAGCAGGGTCAGATGTACCGTCTCAGCATCTGTACTTCTGGCGAGCACAAAGGAGAACCTGTTCGAAGGCGCGGCAAAAAGAAACCCGTGCAAGTCATGCCTACAAATGAGGAAAGACGCAAGGTGGTGGCTGCGGCTGATGCATTGCAGGAAAGGGGCCTCAAGGCCACAGCAAGTTCGGTCAGTGTTTTCTTGGGGGAAGATCGCGTTGCAGCAGAAGCCACCCGTGCAATCCTGAGACATCGCCGCGGACGGCAGGGTGGAGCCACCAAGTTGTTCCAGGAGAGCCAGCCGGAGTTCCTTACTTGGTCGGAGCGCCGGTCCGACACCGTCAAAGATGTGCTGATGAAGCCCTTCAGCTACGTCATTTTGATCTTGGGTTTTTTTGAAGCATTGGAGCAGCTTGGGGCTTCAAAGATCTGCCTCGCAGCTGACTTTACGCATTCCCTCGAGTTGATGTCCTTTCGCTGGGGCGTCGTGTCCTTGGTCCTTTACAGATGCCTTGGAGGGTCCTGGCGCAGGACCCCGTGGCCGCTGGCGTTTGTTTGCTATGCTGTCGAAGCTTCCGCTGGGTACCTCAAAGTGTTCCAGGCCGTGCAGAGTCTTGCTGGGATTAGCCTTACATGCTTGCCAGCCTCAACCCTTTTAACCCTAGCCCTCAAAACCCGAAGCCTTGAAGCCTACGCAATCTGAGGACAGAGCTGGCCCGTCGAGGTATGGCGAATGTTGTTTGCCAAGTCAATTGTGACTACTTCACAGGCAGTCGTACCGCTTGCGAACGTGTCTGGCCGAGAGCGCAGGTCGTCAACGACCTCGAGCATTTGCGAAGGAATTTGCTTGGAAACGACCGTCGCGGGAAAAAGCAGGAAACGCGTGATGGCGAGGAGCCAGCCCGCCCGCCTCCGCGGGCTCGGGGTGCGCGGGGCCGAGCCGTTGCTCCTGCCCGTCGGGCCGGGCGCTCTGGTGGACGTGGAGGTCGCGGCCGTGGAGGTCGCGGCCGTGGTCGCGGCAGGGGTCTCGGCGTCGCTCCCCACCTGATCAAGTATCCCGTCTGGGCTGTGCTCAACAACATCACACACCTGGCGCTTTGCCCTACGATCATCATGTTCCACATCCTGGCGAAGACGCTTTTTTTGCGCATGAAATTTTGCTGGGGCGAGGAGAAGTTTATGCAGTATGTGCAGGAGCAGTATTTCGTTCAGATCCCTCCCCCAAGGCTCGGATTGGTCCTAAACCCGAAGCTCAAACCTCACCTAAAACCTCCTCACTTAAAACCTCCAGCCCTCTCAGCCCTTCGTCGTCCCCAGCAACCCCTGCGCCAGGGATTCAGGACTCCAAGAAGACTTGATATGGAGTGCTCGTTGGTGGGTGGGCGTGGGTTCCAAAGCCCAGACTGGTCATCCTTGCACGCAGCAGGCTGCCGAAGCTGCGAATTCAAAAATCAAGACAGATGTCAGGGGACAAGGCCCAGCTAAGACCCACAAGATGGTGGCTGAGAACTTGCTCAAGGCGAGCGTGCTTTGGACGTCTGACATCCACGAAGCAGATCGTCTGGCGGGGTCACAGGCGAGCCATTCCTAGTCATCAGTCTTCTGTTGTGCCCCTATGTCCTCCCCCCCAACCAATCATAAGTTTGACCTGCAGGCGCCCTTGTCTCTCATGGCGCCGCCCGACTGTTTGACTGCCGAGCGACCCCGTCGGCCAGATGATTGGATGCTTGAACCTCGAGGATTGCAGATGGGAAGGAGGCAAAATTAAAACCCTCAATAATAATGTGATGATACTGGGATTATTCTTTTCTTATTCGGTTGGAAAGAAAGCCCGCAAACTTCTTCCATTCCTCAGTCACGGCAGGAGCGAGGCACCGAAGGCCTTTTGGCGACCTGGAGTATTTTCCGCCGATACCTCACCTTCTGCGGCGCATACAAGCGCCAGGCTCGCAGTTTGTCGAGATGGACGACGGTGAGGGTCGCAACACGCGCTGGGCTTGCCTTGCGGTCAACAAGCCACGTGTTGTGCCGAGAGGTACGCTGCAGAGGATGCGGCGCCTTTTGCAAGCTCGCAAAGAGGCGCGGCTCTTGTCTGCACTAGAGGCGGAGGGTATCCTCCAGGATGCCGGCGAGTCTGCGCACCCGAGTGCACCGAAAAAGGTGAACTGGGATCGGTACTCGGAGTTCTGGAGCACTTTTTGCTGCGTCTGGCACACTGAAGGCAATGACTCCTGCCGCTGTACGTGCTGGATGTGGACATGGGATGGCCAGTGCCCGCATAGCTATGCGCTAGAAGAACACTGGCAACTCCATCACCACGTTCCGCCCGTGGTGCCAGATGTAGTGCAAGCAGCTCGCGATGTTCGGCACTCAGACGACGAAGGGCCGGCAAGGCAGCGGCGACGCCGCGGTTGAACGTCTGACCTTGCTCTTGGTAGAACATGGTCCCTTGGGTTTCACACTTGACAGTCAGGTCTGCCAGGACCCTAAACGCACCAGCTGTTTCCGGAGCTCTGCCGTTTCTGTGTTTGTTTTCTAGGGTTTCGGGAATACTTCAAACTATCTCCCCAGCAGCTTCAAATTTTCAGCTCTGCTCCGGTAAATTGGGTGCGATTGCTGCAAACAGCTTTGTTCATGGAGGATGCAGCTATGTTAACCACAGCAGAGACGTTTTTGCCCGCTGTGTGAGCAGCTTCTGACAGCTGGTGTATGGGCTTTTGCTTTCCGGGTTTAGTAGAGTTTTAAATGTCAGGTATGCCAGGGCCCTGAGCCACCAGCTGTTTCAGAATCTGCAGTCTGCACGAGAGTCCTGTTTGGTGAAGGCTTGCTTCAAATTCAGTGGTGGGACAAGGTATATGTATACATAGAGGGAAGAATAGGAAAGACAAAGTTGGTGTAGGGCTTAGGGCTTACGAATAATAGGAAAGACAAAGTTGGTGTAGGGCTTAGTGCTTTCGAAGAACGACATGGTTACTGTAGAAATAAGGACTTTAAAGGAGCGAAGCTGGCCTAACAGCCATTTTGCGCGAACCTCCGCCTCCGCTTTCCGAGACCAAGATGGACGTGGCTTAAGACAGGCTGGAACAGCCCTAGGTTGCTGAAACCCCGATACAACCTCATTGACGGGAGGATCTTGGTCTCCTCGTTCAAAATATTTTCCCAGCAGCTTCAAGTTTTCGACTGTGCTCCGGTAGATTGGGTGCGATCGCTGCTGTCAGCTTTGTTCATGGAGGATGAAGCTGTGTTTTCCACAGCAGAGACGTTTTTGCCCGCTGTGTGAGCAGATTCTGACAGCTGGTGTGTGGGCTTTAGCTTTCCGGGTTTAGTAGAGTTAAATGTCAGGTGCCAGGGCCCTGAGCCACCAGCTGCTTCGGGATCTGCGGTCTGCGCTATAGTCCTGTTTGGTGAAGGCTTGCTTCAAATTCAGTGGTGGGACAAAGTATATGTATACATAGAGGGAAGAATAGGAAAGACAAAGTTGGTCTAGGGCTTAGGGCCTTCGAAGAACGATATGGTTACTGTAGGAATAAGGACTTACGGGAACGAAGCTGGCCGAACATCTTTTTTTCGCGAACCTCCGCCTCCGCTTTAGACCAAGATGGACGTGGCTTAAGACAGGCTGGAACAGGCATTGGCAACGCCCTACGTGGCTGAAACCCCGATACAACCTAATTGACGGGAGGATCTTGGTCTCCTAGTTTTTCCCAGCAGCTTCAGGTTTTCACCATTGCTCCGGTAAACTGGGTGCGATCGCTGCAAACAGCTTTGTTCATGGAGAATTAAGCTATGTTTTCCACAGCAAGGACGTTTTTGCCCTCTGTGTGAAGTAACACCTGGTGTGTAGCGTCCTCCTACTGGTCTACTGGTGTGTAGGGCTTGGTTAGCTGTGTAGCCCTTAGGTTTTCTACGTTTTTAGGGTTCGGGAATAGTTCATATTATTTTCGCAGCTGCCTCAAGTTTTCGACTGTGCTCCGGTAGATTGGGTGCGATCGCTGCTGTCAGCTTTGTTCATGGAGAATGAAGCTATGTTTTCCACAGCAGAGACGTGTCTGCCCGCTCTGTGAGCAGCTTCTAACAGCTGGTTTTTTAAAGTTTCACTTTCCGGGTTGAGGTCTTCAGCGTTTTAGAGTTAAATGTCAGGTATGCCAGGGCCCTGAGCCACCAGCTGTTTCAGGATCTGCGGTTTGCACTATAGTCCTGTTTCGTGAAGGCTTGCTTCAAATTCAGTGGTGGGACAAAGTATATGTATACAGAGAGGGAAGAATAGGAAAGACAAAGTTGATCTAGGGCTTAGGGCCTTTCGAAGAACGATATGGTTACTGTAGGAATAAGGACTTACGGGAACGAAGCTGGCCGAACATCTTTTTTTCGCGAACCTCCGCCTCCGCTTTAGACCAATAGACCAAGATGGACGTGGCTTAAAACAGGCTGGAACAGGCATTGGCGAAGCCCTACCTGGCTGAAACCCCGATACAACCTCATTGACGGGGGGATCTTGGTCTCCTGAGTTCCAAACCCAAACCCAAACCGCAGCTGCATTCTAGGGTTAGGGTTGAGGCTTGTAGGGTTGAGGGTGGAGGTTTCCAGGTCATGGGTTGAATGTCTAGGGCTTTATAATGGGTTGAGAGTTGCGACTGAGGAGTCAATAGGCTGGGAGTTCCTCGCAAAAGGCCCCCCAACTCCCAACCCCTAAACCCCTAAATCCGGTAAGGTGACCCCAGGGCCTTAACCCAAAACCCTTAACCCTAAACCCTAAACCCCCCAGAGCCAGTCTTTGAAACCCCAAGCCCCTCAGGAAATGCTTTGAGTAACGATACAAAAAGGGGACGTGGAGTTTAGGGTTTTGGGTTCTTGGGCACAAGAAAGGGCAGGATGAACATATCCCAAGATGAACCCAGAGAATAATTGCCCCACCTGCGGAAACCATAAGCTCTATAACGGTTTAGTGCTTAAAGTTGCACGACTGCGCCCTAATCCTGTATTCCTGGTAGCCCAGGTAAGGGCTAAAGTTGTCAGTCTTTGGGGTTTCTTTGTTTCTCGGATTTCGGGTACTCGACAGCCTATCGTCCCAGCCCAAACAGAGCCTGAATAGCAGCCACTATCATCCCAATACGAACACTGCTCAAAATGCCGAAATTCAGCACGCAGGTGAGAAGCTCGGAGAACGGAGCGAAAGTGATCTTGGTGCGAATCGGAAATTAGCCCAGACAGCACACTCTGGCGAGAGCTGTCAAAAAGTTAAGAAGGCGTAAGTTTGCAGTTGATTTGACGTGGTACCTCGATTTTCGAGGCGGGGTTCATAAATTGCCGTTTCAGGGTTCCAAACCCACTCTTGTTTCATGGTTCGCACGCGTTCTCGTCGAGTGGAGTTGGGCTCGCTGCTCGCTCAGGCATGTTGCGATGGGCACGCGACGGCGATGTGCAGGGGCTAGAACCCGCTAAGCTGCCGCACTTGGACACATACTTCAGGACCCAAGCAAGGGCCTGCCCAACCTCCCCCCCTGTTGTTGTTGCTGAACGCTTCCCTTTGTGAGGAGGCTTCAAGAGAGGTGCCCTGGCTGCTTCCAGCCCATGGCTGTCCACAAAGAAAGCTGGGCACGGGTTTTGTTGCGCGGGTCAGGAGGGGCTCTTTGAATCGAGCTGCTTGCAGAGGCTCCGAGACTCCAGATTCCATCGAAATCTAGCCAAGCTGGTGTGCATGGGTCTGTGTTCGCTCCTTTCCAACCGGTACAGCATAGGCTCGCTGATCGTCATGAGTTTGGAACGGGTGACATCGCACACGTTCCTGGAACACATGTTGGTGATTGTGATCTAGATCATGGAATCCGAATCAGACATGGCTCGGAGCATCCGGCATCAGCTTAAGGCCGGCATTCCGCGAAACATGTCTCCGGCACGAACGTGAGCACCAGCAGATGGAGCTCCTTGGAACGCAGCGCAGAGAGAGCGCGAAAGAAAAGAAAGATAAAAACAAGAAATAGAGTCACAAAGAAAGATAAAGGAAAAGCAATAGCAAAAGAAAGGAACATAAAGAAACTAAAGAACAAGAAAGAAACAACAAAGGAAAACAAAGGAAAACAAGGAACAAGAAATAAGTAGAAAGAAAAAGAGAAGAAAGAGAAAGAAATACAAAAAAGAGAAACAACGAGAAATAAAGATAAATAACGTTAAATAAAGAGAAAGAAAGAGAGAGAAGAGAAAGAAAGGGAAAGAAAGATGAATACAGAGAAAGAAAGAGAAAGACAGAGAGTGAGAGACAGGGAGAGAGAGAGGAAGAGAGAGAGAGAGAGAGAGAGAAAAAAAAAGAAAGAGGCGAGAAAGAAAGAGAGAAGGAGAGGAGCGAGCGAGAGAGAGAGAGAGAGGCCAACCAACCGCCAAGGGCCGGCAAATGAACCCAACCCCAACCCGTCCCAAGGCCCACACAGCTGCCCACAACCTGTGGGGCTTGTTGGCCCCCGCTCCCTACTCGCCGAGTCGGACGAGGATGCAGAAGTTGCGTGGCGCGAAGCCCAAAGTCTGCTGGTCCACATTGGCGGCAATCGTTAGCGCTCGAAGGATGCACCCCGATGAAAAGATGGCAGCATCGCACGCAAGTATCTCACCCCGACGAGACCTGTACCCACGTGCCCCTTTGGGCGCGGCCACTTCGGGGACGCTTGCCGGATGAAAGGAAGGAAGGAAGGAAGGGAGAGAGAAGAAGAGGGAGAAAAGGAGAGAGAGAGAAAGAAGAGTAAGCATACGACGAAGCGCGCCCGAGAAACGAAGAGAGCATGCAAAGTACAATGTAAAGATGCTGAGGAAGATTGAGGAAACATGCCCCGAGGCCTCTCACTTCTGACGGTTGCCAGCCGCTGCTGCCAGATGGTCTGTGAGCACGCTTGTGAGCCGCTTGTGGTTCCAACCTGTCACGCAAGCTAACCCTGTGGAGCTTGCCGGAGTTGTCGTTTACCATAGCTGGAAGTAGGGCACCGGGGGAAAAACACGTCCCGGGACCTTATGAGGATCCTATACCCAAAAGTTAAGGTCGCGGGGGGGGGGGGGGGGGCGGGAAGGACCTTTCCCCTGCACATGAAGCATTTGTGCGGGCAGCATTGTACAGTTCGCTGCTCCAACTCTGCACCAATAGACCGCAGCATTCTGCTGACAAGCATGTGCCAGATCGGACGGAATATGTCCTTTCAGGATGCCGAGCTGTTTGCGTCCGCCTTCTAATGAGCAGAATAGGTACCGATGAACGATGCTCGGTGTCCCATCTCGGCTCAGCCATATCAGTTCAGATCCGTTCATGGTAAGCATTGCATATAGCCTGGAAGCCGCGAAGTAGGTCCTAGCTCGTCTGCATCCCCAGCTCTGGAAATCGGCAGATCATCCCTGGAGTTGCAGTTGCCATTGCCTGCGGGCCATGCCTAGCAGTAACCCAAACCCAACAACCACCCAACAATCACCCACAACCAGCCCCAAAACGTGAATGCGCACAGCGTCGGACGCTGCGTCAGAGTGGAACAGCTGCTGCCCGCCGTTCGGCAACATCTGCTCACGCAGGCGGGGGTGAGGGGGGCGGACCGCTTTCTTCCAAGGATGCATCATGTTGCAGTTGCGCAGACGGCCGGCCTGAAGGAATCCATCTCATGTACTTCAAGAGAATCTTCCTTGCCTCCTCCACATGTGTTTGGCTCGCAACGGTTGCAGGCCTTGCCGCTTGGCAGCATATGCACCCCTCGCCGCCACGCAGATCAAGGTTGATGTCTTCCAACCGAGGTCTTATTTACAACGGTGGGGATTGCTCCAACCGCCTCTTGGACGACATTAGGAGCTGTCTGCCACTGACGGTTACTATCGGCTTCATAGCCTCTCGCAACCCCAAGGTCTACAACTCCGTGGCTGATGAGAGTCTCAACAGGGTGCGGGGGGAGGGGGGGGGGGTGGATGTGGCAGCGGGTTGTCGATGAAGCACCACATGAACCCTAAAGGGGTGTATGGTTCACATACCTTAATCGCAACTATACTAGTAACTAGCAAAAGGGGCAAAAAGCCCCCATGCCCTAAACTCCTAAACCTTAAACCCTAAACCCTAAACCCTAAACCCTAAACCCGAAACCCTAAACCCTAAACCCTAAACCCTATCTGATACCAGTAGAATGTGTGAGGGTTTTAAGATGTCTTAAGCAGGCCGGGAATGGCTTAGCCGCCCTCACGGCCTTCAGTCTGGCCCTCGCCTTCGTGCTGGACTTCTATCTCATGCTTCTTGGCCTCGGTTTGGGTGTTTGGGGGTTTAGGGAACTTGAGTATTCGGACTATTCTTTGAGGGGTGGACACGAGTTTCGCCTCTTCAGTAAATTTGGTGATGCCCGGCGGCAGACCTGGATGCAAAAAAAAGGGTTCAGTGTTTAGGGTTGGGGATGCTTCTGCTTCGGGATGCGTGCACCTTGGGTCAAAAGTGGTGGGCAAGAGTGGGGGGGCAATGCATGTTCATTGCGCTAGAAAAACTCCCAACCTCCTCAACCCCATTTACATCTCGCCTGGCTTGCCGGAGTTGTAAGAGTGGAAGCCCTATGTATCTCGACCCTAGGGCTCTGAGCACAGACCAGCCAGAGGCGTGGCAAAATTTGCGAAAATCCCCAAACACCCTACAGAAGCATACAACAGCCTGAAGGCCTCGGTAAAGCCTCGCATAATCTCACAGAACATGTCCGGATTGTGAGCGCTTACGTTGCCTAAGCGGAGTTAAACCGTGTTACCTCCCCGCCTAGGCCACCTCTGCTCCAAGTTCTTCTTGCACTGTTCTTCGCAGGCCTGACCAGAAGTTTAGGATTCAGATGGTTCTCTCGAATTTGTTGGAGTCCCACAGGTTTGACATTGAATAGAGTAGTTACGGATATTTATGGTGTGCTGGGCCGAGCAGACGCCGAGAATGCGGTTGCTAATTGTCCTGCTAGCTGCTAGCTGTGGTCGTAAAGAACGGTTGAGTTCAAATAAGTCGCAGACTGTCGAAATCCTGAGCTGCGTAGATCCCAGATGACTTGACACCACCGCAGATTCTAACTAGCCGGGGTCCGCGAATGTGCATCCTGGCCAGGATTAGCCTTTGCCACAGCTATCCTCAAGGCGATCGCATACCCCTATGCGGCATCCCCAGCTTATACATCCTCAGCTTCAGACTAAACATGCCAGACGGGTTCTCTGAGCAGAACACCCTTTGGTCACAGGGGCCTGCTGTGCGGAACGAACACGATTGGTCAGGAGGTTTGGTTGTGTTCGGTTGACGAGTCAGCTGTGGACACGGAAAACCACTCAGGTGTAAATATGTGCATCATATCGGAACTTGGAATGTTGCGGTTGCTGCCACAGCTGCAGCTAAACTGCTGCTAGAAGTTGCCGCTGCTGCTTTTGTAGCACTCAAGCTACACCCCGCAACCCTCCACACACCCTAGGCACTACCCTGAGCTGCAGTGGATGCCTGCAGCGGCATGAACTAACAACTGCACTCAATAAGCAAGGAGGAGGGCACCTCTACAAAGAGAGGAACTCATCACAAATCTGATCAGCCTATGCAGACCTCATTCCTGGAACTCACCCTGACTATTCTTGGGGGTTGTTCGGTTGTTCGACATCAGGGTCTCCTGGAATGGAGTCCCACGCATAGTCAAATTTAGGACAATCCCGACTTAGGCACCCGGTCTGCTTTGCATTGGGCTGCCGCTGGCCTACTTGGGCTGGCTGCGCGTTGGGTCCTGAGCCTCGAAGTCCAGTGTTTGATTCCAAGTCTTCAGCCGCCCTTTCCGCGATGCCATGCGCTGGTGCGTAAGCCCTTGTTTGTCAGACATTGTCAGACCATGTCGCTTCGGAGACCTGCAACAAACCAATGGGTAGGTGGCACCCGGCGCTTCAGCAACGGTGCTTTCATGGCCTTTTGCTGCGGCATTTGCTCAGGTGCGAGTTTTCCCGCCGAGGAATGTGTCCGGTGCAGAGCCACTTGGCCACAAAGCATCAATGATTTCATCTCACGACGTGCCTCGGAATCGGCCAAGGTTTCTACGCCCGCTGGCAATGACATTTGGCACAGCCTGTGTCGGAGTCGTCTTAGCCCAGCACTCAGCATTTTTCCGCAGGTGCCAGGTGCATCAAACGCGAGTGCTTTCTGCAAAAGCATTGCTGGGCAGGGCTGTGATACATACTTCCAGCCCTGAAACATGGAGGGCTATGCGTCCCCAGTTTCAAATGAGCGAAATTGGAGTGCATGGGGACACCACTACCCACATATGGACGTCCCACATCTGCGTGTCCCCACGCCTGCGCCTGCCAAGGTCTGGTGCGCCTGGGTCTTGTACACCGACCATGGTTGGTCCGATGAAACAAAGACCGGGCTGTGGGTTTACATGTGGGTTTACATGGGCCCTCAACATTCCAGTCATGCAAAAAAGGGTCAGACAACTGTTCTCCGAGCCGCATTTGTAAAGCTTTGTAGAGGGTCTCGTGTCCCTTGTCTCGTGCACTGCGTTCTGCATACGGCTGCGGAGGATATGGCTTACCGAGCAGAATGATGGTGTGTTCAACTATCTGTGGCACAATGGCACCACGCCGTTGAACTACACGATCCACTGTTCAACTAGCAGAGATCTGTCGTGGTTTAGCCCCTTGGCAGTGGAGAGACTGGGTTCTCCAGGCAGTTATTCCGCTCCTAGTCGAGGTTGGAATGCCTCGGACTTCCACACCTTCCATACTCCGGAATTCAGTACTATATGGCTTAGGTAGGGCTAAGGGTCCAGGGCTTGGGGCTGCTTGGGGGCTCAGGGCTTGGGGTAAGGGGGGGTAGGGGGGGGGGGTAGGGGGTGGGGGAGGGGGTGGGGGGGGGTGGGGGGGGGGGGGGACCCTTTGTTGTCCTGTGGCCGATCCCAGGACCAAGACTTGACTAAGAGCCTTCCCCCCTATACCTCCCCCATCATTCTCTGTCTATGCTTCAGGCTTGTCGGAGCAAACCTCCATCAAGGCCGCCTGCACAAAAGCCGCGAATGCTGCTCGGATCTTGCTTCAGGCTGCCAGCAGAAAATACAAACGAGCATCCCACATGCTACCCCAGAGAACTATTGGCTTGAACTGCTCAGGTGTGGTTTCTGCAATGGGCGGGCCCTTTCGCCATGATTCTATGTGCTTTGCCTGAAATGAGGGCGATTGGCAATCCAACCGATTTTTGCCCGTAGCACCACAGGGTTTTTTGTGAGAAGGGCCCGATGATCAAAAGACTTGGGTCGAGGTTATGCTGTCGAAGCAGCCTTTGCCTTCATCTTCGCGCAAGTGTCCCAAAAGCTTGTCAGCGCCTCCTCCAGTCCAGACGTGCCTCGTCCGATTGACGCCATGTCCTGACGCAGTCTTTGTCTTTTTTTTTGTTTTTGTGAGGGTTCTCCGGTCCTTATAGTTGCCCAGGATGATGGTCTGCCCTACCTCAAGCAGGTGCTCAAAGGCTGCGTCTTGATGCTTGTGCGTCCTGGGCCGCAAGTTCGCCCACCTTGAGGGCTGGCACAAAAGGGCGTAGGCAGGACGAGGGCTGCGCACTGCGCCGTGGCGGCTTCGGGACCCATGATAGCCAAGGCTGGTTCTGGCAGCTATGTATGCAGCTGCAACATATGCCCTTGGCTGTGCAAGTGGAATACAAGCATGGCTGTTGAGTCTGCGATGCTGAGGGCAAGGCACAGCTTCCTTTGTGATGCGAAGGTGTCGGGATCTGCTGTAGCATTGAGCTCGGCAGTCTTCTGCTTGGGAGCATTGACGATGGCGGCCACTTTGGGATGGACAGGGTCCTGCATTCTTCGGTCTTGGCTTAAAACTCTGCATTAAAGTCCTCAAATTTTTTGTAGGGTCCGGGTAGTTTCACAAGATCAAAGTATATCCTTGACGGAATCCACCTCTTGCTAACGAGACCCAGGGTGCTTTCAACATTCCGGTTGTGTCGAGTGAGCCTTGGGCTGTTAAGAAAGGTGACTACCTGACTCCAAGGCTCAGTACTTGTAGGAATCATCAATGTCGATTGTGAGGTTGGTGAGTCTAATGCCTTGGGCTACTGTGCAAGAGACACAGAGACACAGAGGAGAGAAAGGAGAGATACAGAGAGAAAGAGATCGAGACGATCCGCGGTCAGAAAAGCTAAGACACCTCGCACAGGATGTACGCCGAGATTGATCATGCCAAGCTGAAGCGCCTAGCAACAGAGGGGCACATGGCTTGGGGCCTAAAAGTCGTGTCGGTGCCGGGGAGCGGCACGGCAGGGAGACTAAGGGTTGGAGCCGCCCTGAAGGCTGCAAACATCCTCAAGATCCTGAAGTCGGACTGGGTGCGAGTGCCTCGGAGAACTTAAAGGATGGCATAATGGGCACGATGGGAGGCATCTGGGAGACATGATGGGAAGTCGGAGGGGATCCGTGCTCTTTGTTTTTTTTCTTTTTCTTCGAGGCAATGGCTGTTGGAGGTCTCAACGTGTTCATTCCGCTGCTGGCCCCGTGGTCGGCATGCTGCGTGAGGCGTAATACTAGTACTTTTGAACATCCCTAAAGCATCCTAAAGCCTAACGCCTAAAGCCTAAAGCCACAGACTGCAGCTTCTTGGGTGTGTTGCTAGTTGGGCTTTGGGGTCGACCTGTCCACCTTGGTGCTCTGGTCGTGGTTGTCTTGCTTGAGGGTCGAAACGTGATGGTTGAACCTTAGTTTCTGAGTCCTAGACAACAGTGCGTCATGGCCGCTGATGGATCAGCTGAGGCTGTCTTAGACATGCTCCGGCAGTCCATGAGAAAACTACAAGGACGTGTCTGCTTTGGGTGGGAGTTTAGGACAGGCTTGGGGCCTAGCCCGGCTGCTCAAAGACCGGCCTGGTGGCAAAGCCGCCTAAAGCGTGCGCTTGGAGGAACTGTGCAGGGAAGCCCGGATGACAGATTCACGCTGGCTTCCCAGTCGACATGCGCATGCCGTGGCTCAGGCTCAGCTTGTCGCAACAACCGTGAGTTCAACATTAAATCCAGGCCGACTGGGCGCAAAGTTGCCGACGAGTGCAGCACCTGGAATTGGTGTGGCATTCTCCAGAAGGCATCAGCCTGTCAGCATGTTGCCCTGTGCTTGCACACAGTGTTTGCGCATGGCGTGGCGCTATGCCGGTTCCAGGTTATCGTGCTCGGCGAGCTTTTTGCCGGGCCCTCAGCTTTGCAGTATGAAAGAACACATACTGCATGCTGGTGCACGACTCAGCATGTTCGCAACGAACTGGTCGCTTCATGCTGTCAGATAGCCATCATCTTGGGCATGAAGGCACCGACCATTCGCATGTGCATCCACTTGACAAACATCACGGGCAGTCGGCTAAATTGAGCTTTCCAGGCTACCTATGTGTTCTTCTCATGGCTGAACACGGCCCTTTATGCCGCGAATATCAATTTCTGGGTGCTGACAGCAGCTGGGGGGCAAGAGGAGACAGTTCCTGCAGTTTTTTCAGCAAGCTGCCCTCCCCCCCCCCACCCCCCCAGATCTGAGGCCTTGGTGTTTGGGCTCGGCCTCTCTATGTTCATGTGCCCCATCGTTCCGGGAAGCGCCGTCTACCTTTTCGCGCCTCATCGAAACTTCTACGACGATGTAAGTCAGCTCCTGGCACATACGGCAGTACCAGTTCCGTAGCACCACATTGCCAGCAGTAGCACCACATTGCCATAGTTTGAGAGATTCCAGTTGATCGTGTCAGCGGCCTCCCTCTCCCTCTCAGACTCTGACTGGGCTTCGAGGCCGGTGTGGTGCTCGGAGCACAATCTCAGCTAGCGGGTCGACCCGGATTCGGCGCTGGTATTGCAGCCTCTTGTCTGAAGGAACCTTTGGAGTAGAAATGTATCAGGTTTCAAGCTGACAAGTGTTTCTGGAAGTAATCAATGCCCCAGCCCCACCTCGTGCATGGGGAGCCTGACCATTGGCTGCTGTTATGCGCAAGGCTGGTGTCGTTGCGAGCTCCATAGCGAAGCACATAGCGTCCCCTGTCAGCATTTGCAGTTTGGAATTCTCGGAAGATTCCGTGCGAGTCGTGTTAAGCCGTGCCAGCGGGAATTGGGCCGCCTTGCTTCATCTACTTGTCAGGAATGAATGGTCACTCAGCTGAGGTGTGTTGGCCAATACATGATCGGCTACTATGCGGGAAAGCTGGTGAAAGTTCAGCAGATGGTGGGCGTAGATCAGGCCTTGCTCCCTGTAACTTGCTGCATGAAGATCCCTTCTGCGCTTACTTGGGATCTCCAGGTTCCCGCTCGTGCCACTGAGAAGATTCTCAAGACGCCTGGCTTGGGTTTGGGCAAGGCGGGTCCTCCTCTGTCCTCTGACTCTGGCCAAAGAAAGGAGGAGGCAGCTCGTGCCCCCCCTGACTGCCAGGTCTGCATCCTCATCGCAGGCATGAGCCGTTTTGAGCGGGACTTCTGGCAAATTTGTGGCGAGTCTTCCTGAATATTGCTGATGTGCAGGCCCCGACTTCCCAACGAGTGTTCTCTGCCACTTGGCCTTGGCATTGGCTTTGAGTGGTAGGGGACGGCCCGGGAGAATCCTCAGCGTCTGGAGAATGGTTTTGTGGGATGCTACACACAACGCAGCGCAGTAGCGCTGAACCGAGACCTTGAGAGGTGGCATTCTGAGATTGAACATTCCGCAGATGCTGCTTGGGACAACGCCCATTGTCCTCGCATGAAGCTGAGCTGTCCCAATGGGGTCGTGCATGGGAGGATGCCTCTCACGATTGCCGAAAGGAGTCTTGCCGACCGTTGCAGGTGAGCGTCATTCCGCAAGTCACGGTTGGCGCCCTCTTGACGCGCCCTGCCCGCACATGAAGCCCACAATCGCACTAGAGTGTTTCAGCTGGTGGTCAGGCGGTGCAGTCTGCGGACACTGCTGCTCCGAGGTACCAGGTTGAGGCCGACAATGAGAGCTCCAGCAATGCTCTGGACTCACTGGGCTGATCGTGGGTTCCATGTGCATGCGGTCCAAGGGGCTCTTGTGACAGCATTTGCAAGTCAGCACTTGTGCCGTTAAGATCCAATCGCTGGTGTCCAACGCGGTCACTGGCTTTGCAGCGGCCATCCAGGTGGCTGTGACTGCATCTCAATGCATCCCTGCATAACCTTTTTTTTTTGACATGGAGCTTCTTTGCGCAATGCGTAAAGTTGGCGTAAAGAAAAGATTGAGGCCTCGGCCGTGCTATTATTCACCTGGCGCATCATGAAGACGGTGGAGCAGGCTGAGCCGTCAACGTCTGGAGTGGCCACCGTATCAGTAGGGGGCTTGCGTCATTTGCGAGAGTTCCACTTTCTCTAGCGCGCGAGTTCGGGCTTTACCTACACTGGATCGCAATTTCTCACCTCCTGATGTGTCTACTCTATTGTCTCTATGTTTGCTTTTTCTGTGGGTTATTAAAGATCATTCCGCAGCTTCACTTTGGCTCTCGGCATTTTATGATTCCGGTCATTTTTCGTGTTTTTGGGCATTTCGGCCGGGTTCTACGTCTCACTTTGGCAGCCGTTTGCAGGGTTTTTTGGTGTTTCCTGTGTTGGGTTGATCGGCTGGTGCTTCTCAACACGGCCTTGAAGTGCCCGATCTTTTTGTGGAAAGGGCAGAGGAGGGGATCATAACGTTCATTCTGATTGTCTCCACTAGCAGTGCAAGCCTACTCGCCTTACCCTAACCCTTGCAGGGGGTGCAGGCGCAAATTCTGAAAACCTGTTCAATGCCCCAGCCCTTTTCTCCTAGCCCTTCAAGCCCAAAGCCTGAAAACATTCTCGCTAAAGCCCCTACGGCGGTGCAAGCCCAAAATCGCAACCCTAGGCCACTCCCGTGACTTCCATAAAGGCAGTTTCTGCAGACCCCAGAACAGCAGTGTAAGCCCCAAGCCTCAAACCTTAGAAGCTCCGAAGCCGGAGTTTTGGACCTCAAACACACACCATAAGGCGTGGCCAAATCCGCTCCGCGTACGAAGTAGTGTCGGCAGATGTCGGCAGACAGGACGGAGAAGAGTTGGCCAAACCACGAAAAGAGCACGAAGCTGTGGCAAAGCTGACGGCGCAGGAGTGGCGTGAAATCGTCACAAGTGTTTCAAGTGCGCAGTTTGCAAAGTTCGCGTTCGCAGGAAGCAGCCGCTTGCCCGCAGGGGTTCTGATTCTGCATGCTTCTGCAGCACTCAGCATGGGCGACGTCAGGCATATGCACGCAGCACAATGTAGTGCAGTGGCTGGCAATGGGAACTGAATTCAGAACCGCATATTTGCAAGCATGCTTTTGAGGCATTTGCTATTGGAAGTCGCGGTGTTCCAGCAAGCGGTTGCAAGCAGTCACGAAGTTTCCCAGGCGTACACCGCTGCATTCAAGCAGGTCTCTCATTGGCAGGCTTGCAACGGCTCCTAGCGATTTTCTGTTGAGTCCCTAGAAAATTTCCTTAGGGCCCTATTTTTGGGAGGCGATGACATGCTTGCAGATATCTATGCTGCTGCTTGCGGTTGCTTGCATTGTCTCTTCTGGCAACTTGGGTTGCATTATGTTGCAGTGCCCGCAATGAAGCAGAGATGTTCGCCCTGCTGGGCATAGATCCGAAGTTGCTGCTTTCTGTAGGGTGCCTGCACCTGAGGCTTCCTCATCGCTGCAGACTTCATGATTACAGATGCCTTTCCGCACATGCTGTATGCAGAACATGTATGAGTACATGAGTTGCTACACAGTAGTAATTCCTTTGTATGCTTGCAGCTTGCGCGTGCACCTCTTGTGACAGGCACACACACACACACACCCAGTAGATGCTAACAGGAAAAGTTCTGCTTCCGGAACTTTGCCATCACCAACAAAATCACAGACCCTATAGATCTTGGAGGCCATGGCAGTCTTTCATGAAGCTTCCTCGCACCTGCTGGCTTGGTGGCCTGGGCCCATCAGTCAAGCTTCCAGGTCTGGATGGCAACGCCTGGAACATCGCCTCCTGTTCGCGAATAGTAGCCAGTACTGTAGGGACCATGCAGAGGCCAACCCAAACACTCTGAATTCTGAATCCGTTAACCTGAGGACCTTACAGCAAATTTTAAGTAAGCCCTTGAGACCTGATCTTGAGGTCATTGTGCCTGTCGGATGGCTGGCGCTCGCTGTGGCAACTCTGGGTGTGGCACGGGCCCCAGGGATATTGCAGGACTGTTTGAGGGTTTAGGGTTGAGGTCGTCCTGCTGGCCTGCGCAGGGCTAAGTCACGACCTGACTTCATTCTGGTAGCTGCAACCCGTGTCCTCTACCACCGGGGCCACATCTTCAAAGCCAGAGAAGGAGCGTCACCGATCTTTGCGTACGGGCGCAGTGTGCTGTGACCTTTAGAAGTGGCCGAGGTTTGCCAAGTCAGCTTTGGCAACATAATTTCCCGTGCTGCCCGAGCACACATGAAGAACAATGTCACCTACCTGCAATGGCAGGGGCGATTTGAGCAACGCTGGCATTGGCTGGCATGCAGTGTTGTTGAGGCCTCCTTTGTGCCGGCACCATGCATAGTGGGGCGCGAGCAAGAAGGCCAAGAGAAGGCCAGCAGCTTGGAGTCTTCACCAGTTCCTAGCATCAAGTCGTGCGGAAGTTCCTTGCAAGAGACGTAGGTGGCAAATGAGACTGAAAATGTGGAGAAACGTGGCTGCATCAAGTGCTAGACTGTTTGGGAGTCATCTTCTCCCAATGTGGTACCTGCACGAACCTTATAGCTGCCAGTAACCTTGCTTGCATACACTTGCCAGAAAATGGGCTGGCCTTATGTGGCCTTTGTCTTGGATGCAAATGTTCGAATTTCAAGATACACTGCAGCACGCGCTGGCTCCCTGACAGCTTCGCTTCAGAAGGTCCAGCTGTGCTCCGTTCAAGACAGTCGCAGCACCTCAGGGAACGCGACGGGAGGGGAACGGGAAGTGTGGCAGTTGCTGCCATACAAGCTAGCACTCACAAGCAGCTGCCACAGTGTTGTTTGGAGGCGTCGTAGGCCGGGTCTGCTGCATGCATTCCCTACCTATCCACTGACGACCTGAACTCTGTCTGCTTGATCATCCTGCAACTGAGGACTCTCGCCTTCTGTTAAGTGCACAAAGTGGCAGTTGAGGGAGGCGAGAGAGTGGAATGTTTCACCCCCCCATAAACTCCGTTTTGTCACTTTAAGTGGCTTCAAAAGATTTCAAAGGAAAAGCTTTATCGTGGGCAGCACAGCCTCTGTATTCCTGTGGCCGAGGCTGTGCAGCATCGGCCCTCTTATCCTGAGGATAGAGGGCCGACTGCATAGAGATCTCTCTCAAAACCCGTCCAATCGTGATAGCGCTGGCGCGGGCCAGACGCGCAGAAAAAGCAAGCCAATGGCTGCCGCCGTGCATGTTGCAGAGGCAAGCGGCGCAGGACAACTGCAGCGGTGAAAGGTCCCTGCTGCTTCTGGGCCTGGCTCAATCACAGCAAAGCTCCCAAATGCTCCTCATGGTTGCAGGAAGCCTAGTCCGGTGGACACTTGCGCGTCGGGAGTTGCGCCAGCCGGGCTGACGGGAGCAAGGAAGGAAACCCCAACAACACAGAGCGGAAGTGTGACTCCTCCTTGGCCAGGGCCCTGCGATGGCTGCCTCCGCCACATGGTTCGACTGGTTTAGATGCTGCAGCGAGCGGGAAGCTGCTGCGGAGGACCCTCACTTGCATGTCCGAGCGCCTGCCACACGCCGTGCTGCAAGGCTGCGGATTCCGACGAAAGCCTGACTGCGCTGGACAGATGCCTAGACGTTGCGGCAGCGGTCAATGCAACGGAAACATGTTAGAGAAGCCCAAGTAAAGCACAAGTTACGCACAAGCAGCAGCGCAGCTTGAAGAAAGTATTTCTTTGCGGCAGCCCAGGCCCGAGAGGGAAAAGAAGCTGCAGAGTGGCAGAGCCTGAGTGGCACTGGGAGAGACACGAAAAAGGGAAGTTGCCAGAGAGGTCTCGTGTTTCGCGCTTGTAAGCCCGAACCGGGCAGAAATCTCGGGCAGTCGAACAGTCCAGGAAGGGTCGTATGAGCCGAGGATTGTACAGAAAGGCGTTGAGCAGGGGGAGTTCCTTCGGTTGCTCCACTTACGATCACGGCTGCGGGACTGTGACGATCATCCTGTGCCTAGACCCAATCTCATGGTCACAGACTGAGTAGCTCGGGACGGACATTGTCTTGTTGATACAAGAGTTGCAGGCGACCCATGCCTTGCCGTGGCGCAAATTGTTGATTGTTGCTTCGGAGAAGACTTAGAGGTCTGAGACCCCACGCGTCGGGCACCATGTCCAGTACCCAGACTGCAGGCATGCAGATGGCAGGCGCTCTCACGGCAGCCGCAGACACTCCTCCGCTTCCTGCGGGCCCGGAATGGCCACTTGGTCATGTTCAGCGACTGCATAATGAAATCAGAGGGTACGCATAACTGTGGTACCTCATTATGAAGGAGGTTTGGTTACGAAGAATGCTGCACCTAACTCCGCTGATGTGGAGCACCTTGCTGAAACATGGCACGCCTGGACGAACCTGGTCCATGTCGACTAGACGGCGCCCGTTCCCACCACGACCTAGTAAACAAAGACGTCCACAGTGTAAATTCATGCGGGAGTATGGAGGCAGGGAGGCGGGGGCAGCTACCAGTAGGTCAGCAGAGTAAAGAAAGGAAAGTGGTTGGGACTTGCAGTCGGGTGACTACGGCTACTAAGGGGGCAAAATGCCCCTTCCTTTGATCGGCCTTTGCGGTTGAAGCCATGGGTTTTCTCCTTCCTTACTCCCATGGCATGCGCTCTATTGTGGGACCTCCCGCTTTCAAAGCCGACCCTCTTCCGACTTCGGAGCAAAACTTCCCGAGAAGAAGTCCAGCCTGCTACCTGTCCGCCTCTTGCTTTCCCAAGTTTGCGATCGTCATGCTGCGTCCCTCTCCGCAGGAAGTTCAGCCATTGCGGCTCAATTGCACTGACTCGCGCAGCCAATGACAACTTTTCAGCGGTTCACTAGTCTGGCAAACGGATCTGGAGTTGTTTGTCAAGACAAACTTCTATCCAATGCCTTGATGCTCCAATCCACAGAACAGTGATTTTTCCACGAAGCTACAAGCGTTTGCGATCGTTGATTGCTGCCCGGCCCTGGTTAGTGCTCCACTTGCACAAGTGGTCCCGCAACTTTTCGGGACACTATTTGTGAGCTTAAAGTATGTTCGACGGAGGGTAGTTTCACGCAGCTTTGTCGGAGCACGTGGAAAATCGAAAGGAATGTCTCGTTTTTCGATGATCTCACGCGTTCATCCCCGCCAGTCCTTCCAGCAGAAACCTTGCACAGAAGCGGTTTCGCATAATTAGGTGGGGTACCTTTACATTCCATTCCAATGTGCCCAGACAGGCCACTCTCTCGAAGTTTCTTATGTTATTCAGCTTCTTACGAGCGCACTCGCACCACGAGGCTACATCTACACATGCAGGCAACAAGCATGGCTTTGCAGATGTGCTTCATGGAGCTTAGGCCTATAAAAGATTCCAAAAAGCTACGAGAGCTCTCTGCTCTCCATACCTTTTTTCAAAGATTTTTCGGCCCTGTGCATTTGGAGTTTTCGTAGGCCGTCGTAGGCATTGGCTTGAATTCAAACCCCTTGAGCTTGTGGACACCAAAAGATTCTGCAGTTCATAATCATAGTCTTTCTCGTTATCCCAACTAGGAGGAAGTCTAACAGTGTAACGATCAAATGTAGTAATGGAAATATGTAGTACAACAAGATTTTAGTATAGTAATGTATCAATATATCAGTACAACAAGAGAACAATATATCAATATCACAATAGTAACAACATAGTAGTATCAGAATATCAGAACTTATTAACTTATTACTTGTTATGTATTTGTCAATACAGGATCAGAATATAACAATATATAAAAAGTTTTACTAGAGTAGGATAATAAGAAACAAATAAACACAGAAGATATAATGTCAGAATGTAATGATCCAATACCGGGAATATTTCCGATCGTGGCATTCGGGGAGTCGCGATTGCCCTCGCGCGCAACAAAAAAAGTAAGACGCTGGCCGCCCACACTGGGGCATGCGATTGTTTGCGCTGAAGGGTAGCCACGAATTGCCCGCAATCCCCGGACTTAGGGACCTGCCGCAGGTTACCTACGCAAGGGTTTCTCAGGCGCACAGCACAGTAGCACACCCCAATGCCTCCCGCAGGTGATCTGCCGAAGGCGGAAGTGATGTTCAGAGCAATGCTCGAGTGGCGCCACGCATTCAAAGTGGACGCATCCTGGCAGAAACCCACTTGAACCCCCGCACGCTAACTCAGGGCCACCGATGGCCTTGTTCCTGCCTTGTGAATACACTGTGAGTCCTCGACTTGTCCCTGAGTAGTGGTACTTCGGTAGCCGTCTTTCATGGTTGGCTTTGAGACAGTTTCGCACTTTAGGACGCCGTTGGGCTTTCTACAAGTCACGAGTTGTGCAGACCAGGAGAAAGTACGACAATGGAAGGAGGAGCTCGATCAACAAAGCACTCAGCGCAGTATAGAGATGCTGCTCTTCTGCAAAGCAGCCGACCTGCTAACCACAACCTTTCCCTCCTGTCCCAACTTAGGCCCCTTCCAACAATGCTCTCATTTTGACCCACTCCCTTCCCTCCCTTTCTGGCCTCCCTCTCAGCGTCGTTATGGTCAGCTGCGACAGGATCCCATTGCCTAGAATTCTTAATAGCTTCAATAGGATGAACCAAGATGAAAGACAAGCTCATCCTGAGTTTCAGCCGAGGAGGAGATATGAAACAGACGTGGAGCTTTGCAGGGATAGCCCGGAGCTTAGCAAACACCTCAGCCCGTCTTGCCCAGCTGTCCTCCAAGAGATTGCTGTGGGATTCTGTGGGATCTGTGCAGGACATGGTGTGCCCGTTCGGCTGGTTCGGACAAGTGTGGCCGACGTCCAGGGACTGGTTCGCGAGTTCGGGAAAGAGCTCGTTTTGTGACCTGGCAGGTTTACGCGTCAGATATCCACGTTTTGCATCGGCTTGAATGGTCAAGCTTCTCGAAGCCTTGCTAAGGATTGACACCATGATGCGAATGGAGCGTGCCCACGAGGAGATTCGACGAGCAATGTTCGACACGGAGGTGGTGATTGGAGGCCAGCTTCAGATCATTGACATGGGCGACTATGGCAAATACGGCGTCCCGAATTTGACGAGTCGGTTGTTCTCGAGTCTGAAGATCGCCGCGGAGATCTCGCAAATTACTGATGCCAACTATCCTGTCGCTTGGCAGAGGCATCAGCCGCCCATGGTTCATCATAGAGCATCATGCGACAGCATAGGTTGCTGGCAACTTGAAATCACTTGCCAATTCGGGCTGTTTGATTGGTTCAGGAAACAGTGCGGAGGGCATTCATCATCCGACTTGGTTCCTGCACCAGCACGGCCTGGCGCTATTGCATCCAACCACTGCTGCCGGAGCGAACGCAGAACAAGTTGGTCCCATGTGGCCCAAAGGCAGGTTGTGAGCTGACAGGGCACATGTGCCCAACGGCGATAGCCCTGCCCCATGCTCCCAGCTCGTGGCCCAACCCACAGAAAGAGCTACTCGTAGGCCCTAAGACCTCAAGGTATACACTGGTTTACACTGAGTTTACACTCGAAGTACACCCGAAACGGCCTCTCCGCGTCTCCAGGCAAGCTCTTGGACAGACCGACTGGGGGCGGAGCTGGATCTAGCAGCCCTGCCCGCCTTCCTCCGCGAGGATCCGCCCAGAAGAAGCGGCAAAGGGTCGAAGAGAGTTAGGGAGTTCGTGTTTGGGGGATATGACTCACGTGGTGGAGAGGGGAGGCTACTCATACTACAGTTTGCTTGTTGAAGTCAGCGGGAAATTTGAGCCACGCAGCTTCATCGAGCTCTTGTAGAGTGCTAGTCCTGCCACGTCATGTTACGGGCTTGAAGTCCTATGAGAACAGGTTCTGCAAAGCTTCAGAACTACAGCACCCCACGGGGATTACACTCACCTCTCACTGCTCACGCCTCTGCTGTTGGTGAGCCCATGGATCTTTCGGCGTGGTTGTCATCTTCTTTTCTGAGTCTCCGAGGTTGCCAACGTCGTAATCGAGAGAGCACTCTCGTGTACGCAGATCTTCTTCTTCATGCTAACCGACATTTTCGAGATGTCTGCGATGTCCTGGAATCGGTTTTTTTAGACCAAGCCAACGAGGTAATGTCATTTCCTTGCAGCCTCATCGTGCTGCACAGGGAGTGTAAGACCCTTCATCTGAATCGCTGCAGTCCGATCGTACAGATGCTTTCGCAAGTCTTGGCTGATTCGGGTGAGCAGGAAATACCCGTCGTGGATGATATCCTTGACATGATGTGGTGCTCTGGGCAATGGCCTACGCCACAGAAACATCTCCACCCAACTTGCTTGATGTGTGGAAGACTGGTTTGTGGCCCCCACAAGCAGATGGTACAGAGACTTGAATCCGGGCCTGTCAAGCGACTGGAGGATGGCAGCCCGTTTCTCAGGCTCAATCCGCGTCGGATGTGCCGACGCATCAGTAGTCCCTGGACGTTGCCGGAGTCTGATACAAAGGAGCGCGCTCCTTGGACGAGCGAGGAGGAGGAAGCCTTGATCTCTGCTGTGAGATCTTGTGGCCACTTGGGCTGGACTGCAGTCCAACAGCATTTGGAAGGCGAGGGCTTCAGTCGCACAGATGGCCAATGTCAAGAGCAGTGGAGGCAAGTTGCGGAGCCACTCTCCCGACTAGAAGCACTGGGCATGAAGGCGCCCGATGCAACGAACACGAAGCTACTGCGTGAGATCCCTGAAGGGACCGTGGGAGAGAGGTGGCAGTGGCGAGACCAAGCAATCTTGGCAGAGATGCAGGCATTGCTGTCTCCTGAGTCAAAAGGGTTAGAAGTACAGAAATTGGGGACAGGACTCGTCATGTGGTCACCGCTTCTGTCCTGTTACCTGTGCTCCCCCTCCATTTGCCATCCACCCGCAACATTGCTGCCAGACACAATCCAGGAAGACTTTCTGATCGGGCTGTCAGCCTTTTTCCGGACACCGATGATCGATCGCACCGGTCTGCTGAACAAGGATTGTAGCTTGCGCCTGACAGTCCTGGAGCCCATGCCAGACAGGGACCCAGGCTTTTGTAAGCAGCTTGGCACGGTGATGGATGACCGGGCGAGGTCATTGATCGATCGCGCGCAGGCACAGCGATGCAAACTCGAGGTGCTTTGGAGTGGAGGCATCGACTCTACATCTGTGCTGGTAGCGATGCTGAGAGCGCTGCAGCCTGACTGGCGACCATGGAACGCGCAGAGCAGCCTTCAAGCAGAGCCAACATCCCATGCCTTTGAGGGCATTGTCGTCCGATGCAGTGCCGACTCCATCGCGGAGTATCCATGGTTCCATGAGAAGGTCCTTCTGCCACTGCATGAAGCCGGAGCCATTTCCATAGAGCCCCTTGCAGATGCAGAGGAAGTGTCGGCGCTGTGGGAAGCGCACACGCCCAGAATCACAGTCACTGGAGAGTGTGGAGATCAAATATTCGGGTCTCAGTTGCTAGAGGCAGCTTTCGTCAAGTCTGAGCTCAGCGCGCTGTACGAGCATGGGCTGGATGCAGCCTGGGAGGACACTGTGCTGCATGCTTTGATGGACATGGGCATTGTGAAGCACAAGGAACGATGGCTGCATTGGTTTAGGCCTTTTGTGGAACGATGCCCGCTTCCAATCTTCTCTGCATTTGACTTGCTCTGGTGGCTGAACATCGCCTGCAAATGGCAGACAGTTTGCCTTAGGCTCTTCCAGCGCCGGCCCCAACTTCGCTGGACCGACCTGGACAGAGTTGTCCACTTCTTCCAGACAGAGGAGTTTCAGCAATGGTCCTTTGTCCCTGAGAACCATGCATCCAAGATGACAGATCACACAAAGTGGTCAACATACAAGCAGCCTTTGAAACAGTACATCCTTGAGTTCACTCAGGACAAGGAGTATTTCGAAAGCAAGCTCAAGACAGGATCCCTTTGCCAGGTGAATGATGCCAGCCGCTTCGTCATCATGGGCATTGACGACAAGTTGAACGTACTCCGATTCGGAGAGACGTGCCTGAGCACACTCCAGATGGATAGGCACTACCCGGAGAGTGCTTTGCAAAGAGCGTTCCTGAGAAAGAAAAAGAGCGAGCCGCAAACCTCTTAAAGGCGTGGAAAGAGCGAGTTGCGGCAGCTGACGGTATCTTCATGTGCGGGGCGGCAGGTTGCACAAGACAGTCGAAACCTGCATTGCGTTGCTGCAGCACGTCGTGGGCTAGTGTGGCTAGTGGCTATTGGCTATCTTCACCAGATTCTTCTGGGCTGTACCCGGCGATCCAGCCGTAAGCTGAACCCCAAGCCCCCCAAAATATGCAACCCCAGTGAATCCAATGGACCCAGGGTGAGGGTAATCAACCCCGGGAAGGACTCGGATGCAGCCTTCAAGGCTGCGACACCCTGCGGGGGCATGGTGCCTGCGGGCCTGGCTGGACGAGACCAAGGAGATTGAAGGGCTTCGTGTCTGTTATCGTTTGTTGGGGTCTTTCTAGCACCGGTGACCCCTAAAGACGGCGGTTACTGTGCCGGGGCTTCGGTCCTCGAAAGCGAAAGAAAAATGGAACGAAAGAAAGTACACTTTGGCTCAAGTCTCGGGAACAGGGTTGAGCCCGTGCTACCTTCGGGGAACAGAGAGCTAGCAGCGAAGCTGCTTTGGAGTGAAGGTGCCACCCGCCGAGGAAGAACTAGTGATCCCCGCCGACCGCGACAACTTTGACGACGCTTTTGGGATAGAAGTGACAGTGAAGCAGAACTGGGTGACGAAACGCCCCGACAGGGGGTGGGGTGGAGGTGTTTCGTGGGGACGCCAGGACAAGGGCGGGGGTTCGGTTTGGCCGCCATCCCGCACTTCGAGATGACGGATGCGGGTTGAGTCCAAGGACACGCTGCGGGAGCACACGGACTCAGAGGCTCCGAGTCGAGAGGGGAGGGGGGGCGGGACAGGCCGGAGGTGTAGGTGGGTGGGTGGGTGTGTGAAAGAGAGAGTGTGTTGAGAGTGTGTGAGAGTGAGAGTAAGAGCAAATAAACACAAGACATGAGGAAAAACCAGAAAAAACGAGAGAGAGAGAGAGAGAGAGCAAGACAATTGCCAGTCAAGTGGATCATGACCTCGATCACGCGCCGGGGAGACCCAATGCGGTCCTGGATGAGCCTAATACCCGGTGGAGCCGGGGCAAAATGGACCACGAAGTGGGGCCTAAGTGGATCGAACATCGAAGAGCACGTCTAGCAACAGCTGAGTGAGAGACACAGTAGCCCAACATAGGCAAACGCTGCTGAGAACAGTGGAGCGATGAGCGTCAGTTGTGAGGCTTCGAGCTTGAGAAAGTCGGATTTCAGGGATTGCATGTTCTTTCCAGAGCTCTCATGTGTTGAAGCAACGTGAACCCTACACTACCAGACAAGCAAATTCTCTCCTTGGGTCTTGGTACAGGGCAGTGGCATGTGGAGCCGACTGTGGTCAAGAAGAAGCCATCCAGTCTGCGACACAATGGGCCGACTAGCACGCTTTTCAGACACTTCATTCTCTCCTCAAAGTCGGACATGCACGGGACAGTGCGCCCCAGCTGGCATGAACGCAGCTAGTGGGGCTACAAGTGCACGTGTGTCGGTGAGTCCAAAACATCGCCAAGCTTGCACAGATGCGTTGAGAAGCTCAGGTGCGCTCGAATTCAGCTCATGTTCTTTGGCGTCATCGCACTGGCTGCAGGAGCTCTCGCTTCCTGCCAAACTCCATCTTGCTTTCTGCAAGCTTGTGTGCCTGTGGGGATACGACTGCGCTGCAGCCTGTGCATCCAAGGCTGTCGAACCCGTCACTATTCTGTGACCACACGCGTGCGCCTCCGTGCACCTACTGCCGCCTCACGGAAATGGAACCCGAAACTCCAAGCCCTAGCTCCTACCTCGTGTGCGTGTGGGCGCCGAACTTGGGATTGGCGGTTGGGGAGGGGGAGGGAGTTTGATGACCTGAAAAAACTTCTTCAACACTGAAGCTCTTTCTGGCATGACATTGTTCCCTGCCGAGTGGTCCAGCCACCAACTTTCTCAGATCTCAGGCCAGACTGTGGCGCAGCTGCCTTAACCCAATGGCACAATGCTATGCTAATTCAGTCAAATGCGAGTTTTGAGTTTGCCGATGCGCAGAGTTTTCCGGGTTCCACTGCAGCCACAACTTGAGAAAGCGCAGTTGCTCCGATCTCCGGGTGTTAGGCTCCCTACTGATCCCTTCTGCAACTTGCTCTGCAGGCTAAGCCCTTAACCCTTAAGCCCTAAGCAGTGCGGACCCTTGTGGCAACCTTGCTTTCCTTTCCTGGCAACAGAAAGCCAGGAGGCTTGTAGAATACAAGGGGGAAGCAGGAATAAAGTCAAAAATGATGAATAAACTGAACAACCAGCGCAGGTCTTTGAAACAAGACATGCACAGCTGATTGCCGAATGCGCATTAGAACTCTTCAAAGTTGTAGTGGGCGCATTCGTGCTGCAGTTCTGCCTTCGGCAGGGGACTGCAAAAATATCGTGGACTCTCTGCCGGACAATGCTCCAAGCGCTGCGCCATGCAACTTGTATGGCGCATGAAGCAAAATGAGTAACCACAGCTAGGGAAGCCTGGCTGCGCGGAACAAAAAAAAAGGCGAAGACAGACGCTGAAGATGACGGATGCATGATAGTGGATGCTTAGTCAGCATCAGGCCGGAGTTCTGCTCAATATAGCTCAAGGCAGCATAGGCCTTTTCGTGGCATGCGGCAGCACCACAGCGCAACTTCAAGCGACTTCATCTTCCAGAACTGCAAGTACAGCGCCGTCTCGCAGACTGGGCCTATAGGCACTGCGATGGGGAGCAGAGCAGCTCACAACTGGAAAAGACGGTGGGGGGGCGTCTGCACTTTGAGTGATGAAAAGCCCTGTGGCGTGCCTTGAAACCCTACATGGAAGCCAGGCAGAAGCTGCTGGAAAAGTCCTGGCCTTGGGGCAGTTATGCTCAGTTCTCTAAGCTATGGAGAACTGACGACATGTGCCACAGCTAGGAAGCTGCAGAGCCTTTGCCCCTGGCAGGCACGGGAAAGGCAAGGGTAAGGGCAAAGGCAAGGATCGAAAAACAGGCTGGCTGCGTGCAGTGGTTAGGGTTTTGGGTTTAGGGCTGCACAGCCCCCTCTGAAAAATGGGATGACGGGCTTGCAGGTAGTAAGCGTGCGGCTGAGGACAAAGAAGGCCGAACCGCCAAAAAACTTCTGCGGCTTTTGCTTCGTAAGGTCCCCACGAGTTGTGGCTTAAGCTTGACGATTTGCTGGCTCAAGCCCGGTGGAAGCACCTGCAGAAGGTCTTCAAAAGCAGATCCGGCAAGAGTCAAAGTGCCAGAAGCTGGCACACCACTTGTATCCACTTGTGCACACGCTGAGATTTAGCTGCTGGGACATGTGCCAGGAACTACATATTGTAGCTGGTGACGGCTAGTGTGTGTGTGTGGGACCTGGCGATGCTCAGCCCCAGCGCCCAGCAGCATGCAAATCAACCGGGAGCCATGCAAGTGACGGTTGCAGTGACGCTCTTGCTTGAAGTTTAGGCACGTTTTAGAGTTTTAGGGCTTAGGCTGTGAGCTTGGGGCTCTTTGGTGTTCATGGCCTCTTCAGAAGCTCTATGTTTCTTCGTAGACAGGAAGCGGCGGACTGCCCCACGGCTGACTTCATGCGGCACTTCTTGGGCGTGCTGCGCAACACTGCTGCTGGTCCACCGACTGCCCGAAAAGCCCGATATTCTTGGCGAAGTGCAATGTCCAGAGATAGCATGCTCTTCCCACGGAAAGAATGCTCCAAACTCTGCCTCCACGCGGGTTGCGCCACCTTGGCGTTAAGGTCAGTGGGCGTATGAGGAGGAGTCGGCGCTGGGCAGCCTGGGCAGCGCGGGCTGCGTTGGATTGGCATGAGCTGGCAGCCCGCCGCACAGCTGACTCAGTGCCGCAGAGTCTGTAGAACCTTAGACTCAGGCCCGTCTTCACCTGCTGGAGTCTTTTAACCCGGAAGATGAAATCCATGAGTTCCAGGTACTGATGAGGTTTTGGAAGCGGTTTCCGATCATAAGCCGTCTCCGCAAGAAGCCGAAGCTGTGCGCATGGAGCTCGCGAGAGTGGCAGACCTTCAGGAGGCCTGTGTCCCATGAGTGCCCCATGCCAGCTGCCACACCTGCCAAGAATTCCTTAGCTCAATATGGGAACCTGAGAGCATTTTTTAGGATCAACAGCCGTGCAGAGGTTGTTGCAGAAGATTGGCGAGCGGAATTGGATGCACGCCATGCAAAAGTAAGTTGGTATGAGGAGCTTTTTCAGGACGCGTGTGCTGCGCACAACACGTTTCAGATGTCGAGTTAAAGATGATGATTCTGGGCCAGCAACGCAGTGCAAGGAGACCCGCCTGGCAAAGTTGACAGGCGGCACTCCGCCAGATGTGGCATCTCAGCTAGTCCATACAGGGGGTTCGGGCAAGCCCTTGTGCACAAGGAACCTCCTTTGCTGCCACTTGTTTCTGGTACCTCGGTTGGGGGGGATAGTTGGACTTTAGAGTCTTTAGTCGAAAATCCTCCGGGTGCTCCAGGGAAACAGTTCGAGCATAGAATTGTTCTACCGGGCCAACAACATCCGGAGCCTTGAAGAGGAGGGGGGGGCGGGTCCTCAGGACTGGACATTGATAGCTGACCGCATCAACAAGCGCTTCAAGTACAAGCCTGGCAAGGATGCCTTCCTCCCCATACATTACCTCACATACGAGGATTGGTTCTTGCGGCAGCTATCGCCGGCCACTCTGGAGCGGTGCTTCTCACAAGCAGCCCTGGCGGACGTTTGCTCGCCTGTGCAGGGGAAGGCATGGGAACAGGCCGGGCATAGAACGGACCAGAACAAGATTGAGCGTACCCCGGAACATGTGCGAAGAGCGTCCCTTTTGTTGGCTTCAGGTGCCCAGCGGTGAGATGTCCTTGAAGATTTCGGTGATCGCTGTGTCAGAGCTGTTGCATGTTCTGGACGGAAAGCAGCTGGTGCAGCTGCGTTTGCGCTGGCCAGTCAGGTCCTCAAGTATCGCTGCGAGGGAACGTTGTTGAAGGGCTAGCGTCGTTTGTATGATTGCCTCGCACCTGCCAAGCTTGTCTTCGCTGTTTATATCTGGGTTCACCTTAAGCATATAGCAAGCAAGGACTACCATCGGGTTCACAGCCCAGTGGATGGCAGGATCACCTCCATTGACCGATACCAGAAGGATGAGCTATTTCCTGGTGCGGAGACCCGGAGCCAACATCATTGGGGGCAAGCGCAACCCATCCACTTTCAATCTGCTTAACAGGGATCCGTAAGCATCGCCACTCAAACGACTTGTGCCGTGTAAGCATCTCCACTCAAACGACTTGCGCTTCTGAGGAATCATTGACGATTTTCTCCTTCAGCACCTCCTTCGGCTTGGTGCGCTTGCTGTGCATCGGCGAGTGGTCAGTTCAGAGCTTCGCGGCGCTCGCGAAGGTTGGGGATGAGGTGGGGACTTCCGAGAATAAGGGGGCCCCTAAAATATAGACCCCAAAACAGCAAGACCCCCTTCAAGGGAACCAGCAAAATGGGTAATCCCCATTTTCGGAAACTGCCAGGTAACCAAGATGGACGAACTCGGCCACTTCGATCTGGGCTCCCAGGTCATCCTGTCACTGCCAGAGGTCGACGTCTGCTTTGAGGGGAGCCCCAGGCTGTTCCCGGGTGACCCTATTGCAAGCAAGCGCTGCAGTCCCAGCGGCAAAGAGCCGTCAAGAGAAGAGGGAGACCGCCAAAAAAAGAGCTTTCGTGAAGGAGGTTGAAAGAACCACATGAAAGCACTAGCGCGACACAAGCATCATAGCAAATCCATGTTCCGAGCATGTCCGAAGAAGTTCGTCAGGCCGAGGCCGGGGAGATGTCTTGGGAGCCAAAGTTGCTCGCAAGAAGCGGGCCAGGACTGTCTTTTGTCGTGTCTCGCTATGTGGCTGTTGCTCCTCGCCTCGTGGCAGAGGACCTCCTCCGATGCGGTGGAGAAGGCCCCTTGGAATCCCCTTGGCGCTTGTGACCAAAGGCAGGGTTTTTTCGGTGCTCGCAGGCGCGCCCGACAAAGGTCAAGGCGGCCAAGGCCAAGGCCAAGGCCAAGGCCAAGGCCAAGGCCAAGGCCAAGGCCAAGGCCAAGGCCAAGGCCAAGGCCAACCTGGGGTGTTGAAGGGACTGAGTTTCAGGGTTTAGGGGTTTAGGGGTTTAGGGGTTTAGGGGTTTAGGGGTTTAGGGTTTAGGGTTTAGGGCTTAGGGTTGAGGATCCAAGCTTCAAGTTGCACAGCAGACATCAGAGCAGCCCTCGGGCAGAAATGGCAGCAAACACTTGCGAGCTCCACTTCCTGCAGGTGCGGACGGCCGGCGTGAAGAAGAAAGCAAGGTCCCGAAAGATCGCGACGGCTTTGGGATTCCGGTGGGGAGTTCCGGAACCAGGGGATTAGCCATAAATCGATCCTGTACCATGTGATCCTACGCTTCAATGGGGCGAAGGCTAAACCCCAATCAACACTGAGCAGGAGGCAAAGGAGTGATTTGAAAAATCGTGCTCAAGTTCCTCGTGCTCAGAAATTCTCAGTGGTGAGTGGCGGGGGCATCCCCGATGCAATCAATCAGCAACCCGACTTCGCGGCAGTGTGAAGAGTGTGGGACATCAAGCATCGGTTCATCCGCCTTGCCATGTTTGTCCAGACCCCTAGCAGGTCAAAGCTCGATCCCACAACAGGAAAGCTGAGGAAGGTGAAGCGCCTCAAAAAGGTGGCAAGCACAGCAGCTCCCGAAGGCCTGTGCATGTTGCGCATGCTCCAGCGACAAAAGCAGCAGAGTCTAAGCGCCATCCTTGAATCCAGGTGCCCGGGACATGCTGACGTGTTTTTGCAGCACCTCTTCCTTGGCTCAGAGTGTTGTATAGTAGTTAGGCCATCAGAAAGCCAGCGCACACCGACAGCTTGATGCGGCCAGCTCTCGCTTGGGCGGTGATCCATACATGTGTCTGGCTGTCTGAGGGCACTGGGTCAGGAAGCAAGCCTGCTGAAACACAGCATGGCCAGGTCGTATGAGATTGAAAACGTGTACGTACCGTGAGACATCGTGAAGCCATGTAGGTGCTCTAGCTGGAAAGTGTGTACACTTGTCACTGGTGACCGGCGCTGCTTCCCCCTGTCAGGTGGCAACATTTGTTGAGCCAGATGCCTGCGCGGCATCGGCCTGTTGTAGCTCCTTCGTGCACAGGGCTGAGGCTTGGGGCCAGTTCGAGGGGCTGTCGTGTGTGCTGTTGTCTGTTCCTTTGAACGCTGCTTCGAGCGTTGCTTCTGTGAGAGGACCAACAAGCGCTCTCCACAAGTGGGGCTTGGTACTTCTCCCACAGTGGCAGCGAAGAGTCGGTGAGTGCGATCGTGCCAGGGGACATGGTTCTGGCCTCTACACCAGCCGTTGTGCACGGCTGGTGCATGAAATGGAAGGATACGGATAGTGGCACAAAGCCCTACTTGGATCAGAGTTTGGAACGGACCTGTGCCCGTGGGACGGCATTCATGCTGAGTGAACCAGGTGCACATTTGTACGAGAAATTCTGGACCGGCCCTGCACAACCGCTTGCCGACCCACAGAGCTTAACCTTGACAACTTCATCCGGCCAGATTCTGAAGGCGACTGTACTGGTGCCAAAGCTGCCTTTGACAGCTGAGGCTCCACAGTACTTCTCTGCAATTTGGTTTCAAGCCTGCGAAGAGCAAGAGCTTGGCACGATGAACAGCTAGGGCAGCTAGGATGTAGTAAGGCTTGCGGCCACAGAGGCTGGAAGCTTGCTCTACGTCGAACCCACGTTTCCGCGATTTGTGCCAGTAGCCTGCTGAGCCGGTGCAAACCACGGTGCACGTACATAGAGAATTTGACAACGAGGGAACTGCTCCTAACTGTTCTGTGCAGATGACTGAATATACACAGTCGACGAAAAAACGCAGGGCTTCAAGAGCATGGCAACCCTGTGCGTGTTCTTCATGACCCTCGCTCAATTGTTCGGCACAGGTAAGGGAAAGATCCATGCAAAATCTCGTGGAAGGAAGGTGGGTCCTTCATGCGGCTGGCTTCTCTTCTTGCCCTTGCTGGCCTGGTGCTTGCAATGCTTATCATTCCTCCGCCCTCACGCTTTGACATGTCAGGTTCTCAAGAAGAGATTTCTCAAGCAGACCGCCAACAACTCAGGAAGCTGCTGTAAGCTTCCACACCATTGCTGGAAGCGGCATGACTGATTCGATAATCTCCGCAAGGATGGGTTGCAAAATGTGTCCGGCTCAGGCACGCATCGTGTGCCCGGGAAGCTTGACTGAAAGGTTCATCGCCTGCAGCTGGAATGCAAATGGCATGAGCAAGCATGTTCAGCAGTGGCTCCTGCAGATAGATGGTTGATAGTTGTATACGTTGGCAAGATTTGGCAAGTTCATCTGATGTTCACTTGGAGATGTACAAGGGGCCCTAACCCCTAATGAGTTTTAAAGATTGTCCAGTTTTGTTGGGCGTTGAGGTGGCAGAGCTTCAGCCTACAGTGCATTGAGCCAGCCTCAGTCAGCGAGAACACGGCGTGGAGCGTTTGTTGGATGTGATTGTCTCCAGTCTCCCGTGCAGGAAAATATGCATATATAAAACAAAACAGCTGAAGCCAATAAGACCCCCTCAATTTATTGTGGGCTCCGAAAGATGTGGCTACTGAGGACCGCGTTTGAGCGACACTTGCTCTCCTCTGGCCAGCTTAGCCAGGAGCTCGTTGAAATTCCAAGTCAGGGTTCTACTGTAGTTCAAGGTTGCACTTGTAGAGCATGTCCCTTTGGCTCACATTGCTATGGAGCTCGGTTGAGTTTCCACGACTCTTGGCTGCAAAAGAGGTGTTAGGGCTTAAAGCTTTAGGTGAAGAGTCCGGAAGGTCACGAGGATTTCGGGGTCAAGGGGAGTGGGGGAGTGGGAGGGAGAGAGTGAGAGTGGTAGCCAGTAGAGAAACCGATGAGAGGGCCACAGACATGGAGGAAAACGGAGGAAAGACCCCTCGACAGCTCAGATGGGAACCGTCACAAAAGAAAAGTCCAAAAACAACACACGAATGGTCGCTGTGGGGCCACGACAAACCACAAGCACAAGAAGGGCCCCCGAGAACGAGGTCGACCAGATGAAGCAGACAGACCCGAACAAGGGGGACGAGGACTACGTGACGAAGCAGAGCCGGGAAACCGAAACTACACGACCACAACGGCACCGCAGAACGGGAAGGGGGAACGACCACAAGACGGAGACCGACGTCGGCAACCGAAAGAGACCGGCCTCTGACAGGGAATAGGTTTAGAAGTTTAGATTGCCGATTGCCTGGGATGTGTTCGGTGCTTAGTTTCTTCCGACCCTGCCACACACAGTACTGGTCCATGTTGCTGTGCTTTCAAGGAGGGGGGGGAGGGGGACTCGCTTGATACAGCCTGCGAGAGAGAGAGAGAGAGAGAGAGAGACAGAGACAGAGACAGAGACAGAGACAGAGACAGAGACAGAGACAGAGACAGAGACAGAGACAGAGATTCGGACATGGAACGCCGACGACGTCCTCGGCTACACGATTCACCGCCAGAACATGATGTAGACTCCGGCGCAGGCGTACACATGAGGGAGCCAGTAGCGACTAGTGTTGATGTGCAAAGGCCGGGGGAACACTTGTTGTTATGGGAACTAGGTCCACCTTCTTTTTGGAAAACCCGAGCCAGCACAAAAAGGGTGAGTAGCACCCCAGGTTCTCAATCTTTTGACGGGGCACAGAGTGGGTATCAGGTACAACACTGGGCCCACGGCCCGTCCAAAGCCCGCTCGCGAAAACCGCGGGAACGGCAGCAGACGCAAGACATGGGACTCTCGCGACCTTCGGGGCGGCTCTCTCTGGGGGGCCTAGCGTGTGGAGAGAGAGAGAGAGAGAGAGACAGAGAGAGAGACAGAGAGAGAGAGAGAGAGAGAGAGACAGAGATTCGGCTGGAGACGGCCCAACCAGTGCAAACGGAGGTGGTGCAGGGACCACGGCAGTCTGAGAGGGACTGCGACCTCCCAAGAACACCCAAAAAGGGGATGCAACCACCTCTCACTCCAGACTGCCGGACCAGCGGGGGCAAATATTGAAATAGCTGCTTGCGGAAGTTCTGAGGTTGGAGGTGGCTTCGTGACGAGGATCGCGTGGGCTGACACGACAGTGCGATCCTCGCTTCAGGGCTTCGGGCTTCGGAGTTGCGCGGCCTGGGGTTCTTATTAAGACCATGGACCTCAAACTGTAGTAGCTCAACGGTTTCTTGAACACCAGTTGGAAGCAGCACGGCCACGGCCCTTGTAACCGCGGAAAGCGGAAAGCGCCACATGGTGCAGAAAAAGCTTGCGGCAGATGAGCGTTTGAAGCTGTTGCAGATGGTGAGTTGGCCGGCTACAGTACTAAGAATGTTTGATCCCAAGTGCAGCAGCTTTCCTTTTCTTCGGCGGTGCATTGTAGCGCTACTCGTTATTTTTCTTCGAGCATACGTCGGCTGTGTCGGTGCACTTGCAGGAAGCTACTTCCACTTTTTCTCTAGTCCTGAAACCCAGATAGTTATTAATGTCTTAGACTGGTGTTCCGTGGAAGTCCGTGCCCCTGAAGTTTATGTTCGACGCTTTGACAAGGGATGGCCTTGGCGTGTTTTGATTGCGTCGGTGGCGCGGTCGTGCGGAAATCCGCGCAGACACGCGAAGACGAGCGAAGACGAGCGACCAAGCGAAGACGAGCGAAGGCGAGCAAAGACGAGAGACGACGAGCGACGTGACGCTGGCGTCGCTCGGTGGCGCTCGGCGTCGCTCGACGGTTCAAGTCTGTGTAAAGATGCTTGTTGATGTCCTGGTAGTGAAAACCCCCCCCAGCATGCAGTTGACATGTTGGGCATTTGTGGGGGCTTTTTCCGCGGCATGGAGGATGCAGACATGCTGCCAGAGAGCGCTCGTCCAGTGGAGGCCATGCAGAGCAGTCAACAAACGCCGGAGCACTGCCTTCATCGCGGCTGAACTACTCAGCTACTCAGCTACTCAGCTACCCAGCTACCTGCAAGGCAGATCCGGAGGCGCATCAGCAAGCTGGGGCCTTAAACATGCTCCCAGCAGATCCCAGCATGCCCGAAGAGCAGAGTATATCACTCTATATCACAAGTATCTAGCAAAGGGCGCGATGATTGCTGAAGTGCAGCTGCGCCAGCCAGGCCATGAAAAGCGCCGAAAGCTCTTTGCCAAAATGGACACTCCCAAGGCATGTTTCCTTTTGGGGGCGGGAGATGTCACAGGGAAACTCGCCAAATCTCGAGTGATTCGCATCTCTTCGGACTTCGGGCAGGTTGCGGTCATTCGATGCGGCCTTGGAGACAGAAGCGCTGTGGCCTCCGTGTCCTGAGCGCGGGAAGCCTAGCACACGGTTGCAGCTCAACTGGTGCCTCGCCATCCTCGCTGAGTCGGGAATGCTGAACATCATGGATGCCAGGCCTCAAGCTTGCGCAGCGACTGCAGTGCCAAAGAGGTTTGCGCCGGCGAAGCGAGCGCTATATGAAGGAGGCCAGGTGCAACCACTTGGGCTTCGGCTTCTTGCAACGGATGCTCAAGAACCCAAAACGCCCCAGCTCTTCATACAGGAGCAGTCGCTAGACGGGTGACAAAAAAATCCAAAATCCGAGTTAATCAGCCCAAACCAATAGTGCAGTGATGCAGCGACTTGGATGTTCCGACGGCCCTGAGACTGCACGTGTGCAGCAACCTCAACGTCCTTTTGGAGCCGTATGCCTGTACAAATACATCTCATCAAGGTACATCCCCTTTGGGACACTCTAGCCTCTGCCATGCAAGAGGGAGAAGTCTGCAGGTGCTCGTTCCCCTCATCGACCGAACATTTCTTTCCGGCGCATGGGCCGTGCCGGGCCCAGCTGCCATAGGGCGTCGTAGGGCTCAATCACCGCCTGGACGTTCTACGCTAGTTCCTCCGGCTCCAGAGCCCCATCATCATGTCCACCATGCGTTGCAAGACATTCGATACGCCAGGGGGCTTCACATGTTCAACCAAGAATATTGAAAAACGCGATGGGTACCTGCACCAGCCAGAAAGCAGCCTGAACCTGCCAGAACCAAACCACGAACGAGCCTTACGTTCAGGGTTTTCTGGCTGCGCATGGCTGATCCTTTGCAGACTCTGCAGCACGAGAAGGTCATCTGCAGTGGCTCTCAAGCACTCTGTGCACTGAGCAACTATGTCATCAGCTTGTCCCTCGGAGGCGGTGCCCACCAGAAGGGGCGAATGAACAGATAATGTTCTTTTCTGTAGGTGTGCGTTTATAAATAGAATAGTAGCGCAACGTTGTGCCATGTATGCATCGTGGTATGGCCTCACGTGATGTGATATGTCGCAGTGTCGTACTATACCTGTTCTTGCATGTCTTCCTGCTTCTGAGCTCTTGCTGCGATGAAGGCCTCACGGGCGTGAAGGCCGCCATCCCCATGCTGCTCGTGGCCATCGGCGATTTGCCAGCACAGAGGCAAGGGGGTGACCCCTTGCGAAGATGTGGGCCGTAGAGTTGAGCCACTGAGGCTCGAAGCTGACCGATCGTTTTCCGTTGCATTTGGAAGACACATGGTTGGATAGCTGGTGGTGCATCGGAGTGCTCAGCCTCCTGCTCGTTTTGGAGCTGGTGTCCGACTGCATCCCAGCCTTGGCTTCTTGCCAAGATTGCTTCATGCTGCTGGCAAAGCCCATGCTCGGGTTCGCCATGGCCTTGACACCAAGCTACGGGACGGAATCGTTCAAAGTTGTTCTTTCTTCTTTGACTTGCAAGTTTCAGGTGTAGCAGGGAGGCTTTGCAGGATTTTGGTTGGGCACAGATTAACAGGCATGTGCGGGCCTCCAACTCCTCGATCTTGGCATCTGCCATGTTTCCAGCTCGGCACGAGTAACCTATTATGATTATTTAGATCAATGTGGACGTAGAGTATTCATGTGCAGATAGCATGTCGAATGTGCATGTGCGCGCGACCCTTGGTCTCAAGCAGAGAGCGCGATTTCGACCACGTGTGACCTAGGAGGAGTGCTGAGAGCACGATTTGACCATGAAGCACGTCGGGGACCTACGTCTCCTATGCCAAAACTCAATAGCAACAACAAAAACGCCCAAAAAAACAACAAGCCTTCCCCAGAGTTTCCACAGCAACTGCTCACGGTGTTTGTAACCCAGTGCCATACCTACCTACTAATTGCTGTTACGTTTCAAGATGTCACTGCCAGCTGGTATTACCTCAGCCGTTAGCATTCACGCCCTAATCCAGGAGCCACTATGGTATCAGCTCCGCTGCGGGTTGGCTGGCTGCTTTCTCTTCTGGGATCCTGGCTTTGGCTGTGGCCATCATTAAGGCGCGAAAGTTGTGCACGGCTTGGAGATGGCTACGTGGCGAAGTATCAGCTTTTGCATGCATCACGGCTGCGCAGCACTGTCAGGCTTGCGTTATGTGAGCATGTGGAGTAGCTACCGCCCGTAATTGATAGTCTCGAACAATCTCGAACCTTATCGGATTGTGGGAAGCTGTCAGTGAGAAGGCAGCCTGGACGT